ATGTACCTGTGTAACTGTAAACACAGGTACAGGAAGATCCCTGATAGGACAGGGATCGATTTGTCTGACTTAGGCCAACCATCACTGGCCTAAATTGGATGATCGATCCCTCGGGGATCAAATTATGGCACCCGCGGGCCAGGGGGAGGGCACCCCGGCCCGTGAAAACTGTGGGAGCGTGAATCACATATACAGGTGAAACTCAAAAAATTAGAATATCGTGCAAAAGTTCATTTATTTCAGCAATGCAACCTAAATGGTGAAATTAATATATGAGATAGACTCATTACATGCAAAGCAAGATAGTTCAAGCCGTGATTTGTCATAATTGTGATGATTATGGCTTACAGCTTATGAAAACCCCAAATCCACAAGCTCAGAAAATTAGAATATTGTGAAAAGGTGCAATATTCTAGGCTCAAAGTGTCCCACTCTAATCAGCTAATTAAGCCATAACACCTGCAAAGGGTTCCTGAGCCTTTAAATGGTCTCTCAGTCTGGTTCAGTAGGAATCACAATCATGAGAAAGACTGCTGACCTGACAGTTGTGCAGAAAACCATCATTGACACTCTCCATAAGGAGAGAAAGCCTCAAAAGTTGGATGTTCCCAAAGTGCTGTATCAAAGCACATTAATAGAAAGTTATGTGGATGGGAAAAGTGTGGAAGAAAAAGGTGCACAAGCAGCAGGGATGACCGCAGCCTGGAGAGGATTGTCAGGAAAAGGCCATTCAAAAGTGTTGGACTTTCACAAGGAGTGGACTGAGGCTGGAGTCAGTGCATCAAGAGCCATCACACACAGATGGATCCTGGACATGGGCTTCAAATGTCGTATTCCTCTTTTCAAGCTGCTCCTGAACAACAAACAACGTCAGAAGCGTCTTACCTGGGCTAAAGAAAAACAGACCTGGTCTGTTGCTCAGTGGTCCAAAGTCCTCTTTTCTGATGAGAGCGACTTTTGCTTTTCATTTGGAAACCAAGGACTCAGGGTCTGGAGGAAGAATGGAGAGGCACACAGTGCAAGATGCTTAAAGTCCAGTGTAAAGTTTCTACTGTCTGTGTTGATTTTGAGGAGCCATTTCATCTGCTGGTGTTGGTCCACTGTGCTTCATTAAGTCCAGGGTCAAAGCAGCCATCTACCAGGAGATTTTGGAGCGCTTCATGCTTCCTTCCTCAGACGAGCTTTATGAGGATGCTGACTTCATTTTCCAGCAAGACTTGGCACCTGCCCACACTGCCGAAAGCACCAAAACCTGGTTCAATGACCGTGGAATTACTGTGCTTGATTGGCCAGCAAACTCGCCTGACCTGAACCCCATAGAGACATGGGGCATTGCCAAGAGAAAGATGAGAGACATGAGACCGAACAATGCAGAAGAGCTGAAGGCCGCTATTGAAGCATCCTGGTCTTCCGTAACACCTCAGCAGTGCCACAGGCTGATAGCTTCCATGCCACGCCTCATTGAAGCAGTAATTGCTGCAAAAGGAGCCCAAACCAAGTACTGAGTACATATGCATGCTTATACTTTTCAGAGGTCCGATATTGTTCTATGTACAATCTTTGTTTTATTGATTGCATGTAATATTCTAATTTTCTGAAGATTGTGGATTTGGGGTTTTCATGAGCTGTAAGCCATAATCATCACAATTATGACAAATCATGGCTTGAACTATCTTGCTTTGCATGTAATGAGTCTATCTCATATATTAGTTTTACCATTTAGGTTGCATTACTGAAATAAATGAACTTTTTTTGCACGATATTCAAATTTTTCGAGTTTCACCTGTATATATGTGATTTTGCGCACCCGTGCCTTCCTGTAGCAGTATTTCTACTTAAGATGAAGTAGAAGTTAAGTTGAAACAAGCAGGCATATAAACATGTCCAGTAAAAAAAAAAAATTAAAAAATCAAATTTTGGCATAAATTTAGCCCACAATGTATTCTACGACATGTTTTTGCTAAAAAAAAAAATCCCAATACGTGTAAATGAATTGGTTTATGTGAAAGTTATAGCGTTTACAAATGGAGGTATAGATACTGGAGTTTTTTTTTTTACTAATAATGGCAGCGATCAGGGACCTATAGTGGGACTGCGGCGGCATTCTGACACTGGGGGGAACTGACTTGGTGTCACTGACATCCCCAGTGACACCAATACAGTTATCAGTGCTAAAAGAAAGCACTGACACTGTACTAATGGCACTGGGCAGGAAGGGGTTAATATGCTGGGAGCGTTTTACTGGGGGGCTGTGTGTTGGTGCTTCACTGTAAGCACACTGCTCTGGATGGCTGTGCACAGCCATCCAGAGCAGTGCGTTCGAGCTGACAGGGAGGAGGACTGTTAGTAAACAAAGCAGTCCTCCTCCTCGTCGGTAATCACTGGCATCGGCGGGTAATCACCAGCCGGAACCCAACGATTGACAGCCGCAGCCACGAATGGTGGCGCAGCTAGAGCCTGCGCACACCCCTACCCCGAAAATGAAAAAAATCACATATATACATGTGATTTTGTGCACCTGTGCCGCCCTGTAGTAGTATTTCTGCTATAGGGCGGTCGGGAAGCCGCTCATACATCATTAAATGTATTTTGTTTTTTTCCTACAGGAAGTGTGTGTCCCTGAATTTGACTTGGTAGCAGCCTCTTCCAGCCCATGTGCAGTGGTGCAAGGAGCATGCTGATAGAAGGAGAGAGCAGAGTAACAGGTGAGGCAAGTTTATGACTTTGCTTCTTACCCTTTCAGTCTAGTCACATGGTGGGGAGGAGACTTGTAGGGACTAGTAAAGTACACCAAAGTTCTTCATGCTGTATCTTTGGTGCACTTTCAGAAAATGCACTAAAAATGTACAATCAAATAGGAGTCTGTGAGAAACTATGGGTAATCTGCACGAAAACCACAGGTACACTGGGCTGCACCTGGACAAAATGCAACAGGGCAGTGCGAAACAACCTTAAGCACTACTGAACTGCAGCAAAAAAGAAAAAAAAAAAATCACTTCTCTTCCCTTGCTAGTCAAAGATGCATGGTTTGGCAGTGGTGTGTAAATCTTCAAACTGGATGGACAGAAATAAAAATCCTTTGGTTGGAAAAATGTCTCACATATGTATTTCATGTATGTATTTAACTGTTTGTCTGGAGTTCAGCTTCAAAGCTTTGGCTATTTGTAGGCAATCTGTCAGTATTTTACTATTGCCCAAGTGTCTACTGGGGAGAATTCCTCTTTAGGACCACTTCACATCAGAATGCAGTGTGGGAAACACTGCTTTACGTCCATCAAAACACACTGCACTAGAGATTTGCACCAGGTATCAGTGTTAACTGAACAACACCCCAAACACAGGACACAAACGCTGTGCATTTGCCTGCACTGGATCACCTGGTACAGAATTACCATGCAATCCAGTTTCTATTTGTTTTTAAAGTAGTGCATGCACCATTTTTGGTGTGGTCTGGTGCGATTTTAGCCCATTCACTTGAATGGACTAAAATTGCACTGCACTCGGATCACATGTGAATTGCACAGGAAAGCACAGTGAGATTCATTGTGTGAACCAAATCTTAAAGGATAAGTTCACCTATTAGTAAAAAATATTAAATACACATATTTTGCAGGTAAAAATGTGCATTTATTATTTTTGTCTGCAGGGGCCTGGAGGGGAATCAGCAGGTCACTGGTGCCATGCAGGTCTCCTGCAGATCCGTCAATATATCTGCCTGCACGTACGGGATGTACAAGCAAGCAGATATACTGACAGACAGAATGAATGAACCACAACAGCGCCATAGTAGTTCATTGAGGATGACAAGTCGACAGCCGCTAAGACTGGCCATACACTATACAATCTTCTTGAGAACTTTAGCTTTGACCTCATATTATATGGTTTTTGGTAAATCTAAAGCAAACAACACTTTCAGTTGTATACAATTAGGCAAGCCCTTGCACTACATAGTTGAAAGTAAATCTACAGAAAATTGTATAGTGTATGGCCAGCCTTAGGCTGTCAGGACTTGTAGTCTCTCACTCACAGAGTACTGGTGGGTGGAGCCCTGCACAGCCGCATTTTTTTTAAAAGTTGACAGCTAGGGGGAGAAGATCCCCTGTTAGCTGTCAAAGCGGGGGCCAGTCTGATCATAACATGTTACGTTATACCTTGAATATGGATGTAACACATACCATGTTACAAAAGGTGAACCTATCCTGTAATCCTCTGTGGTCACAGACATAGAATCTGAGAGGAAATCTCCTCAGTAGAGACAACAGCTTTTTGTTGCTTTCTGTGCCACCATTAGGCTCCATTCACCCTTGTGTGACTTGTCATGTAACTTTGGACATCAAAGTCACATGACAAGTTGCAGCCCATTATTTTCAATGCCATTTTTTCAAATCAGTGTGACTTAAAGTTGCAGCAACTACTTTGATGCGACTTTGATCCAGTGTTAAGTCGCTCCAAAGTCGCATTGGTAATCATGCTATTTTGGGGTCGTGCAGGTGTGAATGGAGTCTAATTGAGATTTACCCTCACTTCCTGCCCTGTGACCACCAGGCACTGGGGCAGGAAATGAAGAAAAATCTCCCCATCTGGGACACACAGCAACAAAAATATGCTAGAAATGTAAACCCTTCCTGCAAGAACCCAAAACCTAAAGCCTAACCCCATCATAAAGTGTTTGTCTTGGGTCACATGTGTAGGCATTAAAACCTCTGAAAGGTTTTTATTTTCATCTCTTCTGTGTCTCTGTGATTTTCCCTTAATTCCTGTCCTGGTGGCCACAGAACAAATAAGGGGAATTTTACCACTGGGGACACAGACACCAATAAAAAAATTCTGAGGTTCTAACCCTTCCCTACTCTAAATTTAAAAAAAATGCGTGTCTTGAATTGCATTTCATGTTAAAGAGCATTCAAAGAAAAAAAAAAAAAGAACATTTGTTTATGATGTGTTTTTTATTAGAAAAAAAATATTTTCAAGGACCACATCTTATTTTCCCCACCCAGTTATCAATTTCCCATCTGGAAGTTCCTTGTCTTACAGGCACCTCCACCTATAGAATAGGTGATAGATACACACAAGTGTCTTGCATTGTTTTCAGAAGGTGACATACGGATGTCTCCAGAAATCTCTGTATCCTGCTCTACATGTACCTCTTCCTCCAGGTACAGCATCGTTTGCTTCCAGTGCGTCTCTTGACCATATGGAGATGTAGATAACGTAAGTCTATTCTCTCCAGGAAAACTGACAGCAAACCAGACAGCGAATCCATGCATCAAGGAGGAACCATAGCAGCAGAACCTGAAGGAACCTGCGATGGTAGCAATGTCATCCTGTGTGATAGTGGCAAGGTTCAAAGTGGCAAACTTCACAGGGTGGGAGAGGATATTTTCAGGGTATATTGGGCACACAGCCATGTCTTGACTCATGACGCATTTACGGGCAAACGTTTCCACGCAGGACATGTCAACTCCATACACGTCCTTCATTCCGCTCCAAAAGTCCAGCCGCTCCTCCACTGTGGTGTCATTAATAGGCACAATGAAGAGATCCGCAAGGGATGGGAATATCAGGCCACCAGGTTTAAGCCATTTATCACGGGCATACAACACAGAGCTTAGCATTGATTCATACATAAGACTGTACCCCATCCATTCGCTGACAATAACATCTACTTCACCTGGTATATCGGCATTTTCCACCGGGTTGCAGATCACTTCTATTTTACCCTCCATTCCATTGTGCTTTACAACGTCGCACGCCAGTTGGGACACAGTGCTGGCTTCCACCGCGTAGACTTTACTCGCTCCGGCCTGCGCACAGAATATACTAAGGATACCTGTGCCAGCACCGATGTCCAGCACGGTTTTACCAAAGAAACAGTCCTGGCTGCGAAATATGGCTGTCTTGTATGCATTTGTTCGTACGGTGTCCGACAGCATTTCTTCATGAACTGTGATATCAGAGTAACACTGGAAGTACTCACTGTCCTGCTCAGTTCTGTCAAGTTTCCTTTTCTTCAGGAACGCCATGCTTATATCCTTTCTGCACACTGTGCCAGTACTCGCTGTGCTGAGCCAGGCAGAGCTAACAGACGATCCTATTGGCTGAACCAGGCACAGTGTGATTGGAAGGGGAGCTCTTCCTGTCTGCTGCCAGTTCAGCTCCTCCTGTTTCCCCTGTTTTGGTTTCACTTTGTTTTCTCACTTCTAGTTGCCAGGCTCCTCTGTTGTTTTCACCTCACGCTGTGCCTGATTCCTCCACGTAGCATGCTTGCTATGTATTTCAGCTGGGACACACAAAAGCATCATTGTCTGAAAGTGTGTGATATCCACTGCCGTGCCTGCAGCTTTCTCAGGCTGGAGTGTGTAAGTAATAGAAAGGCTGCAGGACGACTGAGCTGAGAAAGAGGGACACCTTTTAGGCTACTTTCACACTGATCCGCCACAAAAACACAGCAAAAACACATAGGCATTTTTACCATGGTTTCTGGGTGTTTTTTAACCTCCCTGGCGGTATGATTATTTCAGATTTTTGGTGCTGAAAGCGGTACCATTTTGTTGCATGGAAATATGTATTTAGGAATAACTCACTGAAATCTGTCCGAACAAGAGTCTAGTAAACATTCTGGATATGATAAAACTTGAAACACAAAATCATAAACTATAATTTAATAAATAATCATAAAAAATAATAATAAATTTAATTCAATAATATAATCAAACCAAAAACACTGAAATTTGAAATCTAGCGCAAAGTTCGCACATCGCTGAGCAAAGTCGCAGAATCGTTTTCAGTGTCTGATGACAAATTTTCCCACAAATCATCACTCAATTCTGCAAGTGGTTCTGATTTACTATCGCTGTTCTCTAGCTGGTCTAAAACCGATTTTGACATAAAGGGAAGATTTTTGGACGCCACGAACCTTTCTAAGTTTCCAGGCAGAAAGAACAGTTAAAATGCAGGCAGGGCACAGGACAAAGCAGTAGGGACAAAATGTATGTGAAATGCTTTGAAACAGCAATGTTTTACTATGTAATAATCATTTTTAAAAAAATGACATTTTTTAAAAAGTTCACATTTGTCGCCGGTTCCGGCACCCGTACGTCCTGACGTCACAGGGACTGGAACACGGAAGCCGGATGCCGGCATCGGCCGGAGGAGATGGCCGGGGACGCTGCAGGGGGACGCATCGCGGGAGCGAAGGACAAGGTAAGCACTGCAGGGACTCCCTATGCAACGCTGCATGGTAAGCCCGAGTGTAGCTCGGGGTTACCGCTTTTGGTACTGAAACTCTACCCCGAGCTACACTCGGGAATACCGCCAGGGAGGTTAAAGGACACGTGACTTAAAAACAGCACCAAAACTGCTTCTCAGAGGCGTTTTTAAGGTGCTTTTCTGGTGTTTTTCAGGCGTTTTCCATTTATTTCAATATGAAGAGGCATTTTTGGGGCAGTTTTTTTTTTTTAACTCCCCAGAGATGTTGCAAGCAGGAGTTTTTACACGGCACCGCAAGCGCAATGCCTCAGTGTGAAAACATACATAGATATACATTCACATACACAGGGAAGCAGTTTTCTTAAGCTTTTCAGGCACTTTTTTATAACACAAAAACGCTTGAAAAACTCCTCAGTGTGAAATCAGCCTTAAGGTGGGAATACACGATTAGAAAATCGACCGATCGGTCATCCGACGACCGAGAGGTGTTTGTTCGTTGGTTGAGATTGCGGCCCACATTAACCAATCTAAAAAAAAATCATTTGTCAGGCAATACGTAGTGTTGACGTCTTCAGTACAAGTGGAAGTGATGCAGTGTGCGTGTGACCTTGTAGCCAGAACAGGCAATATACACAACAATGAACAGCAATGAGTATAATATAGTCAATTACATTATCTATATACATAAATAGTGATACATAAAAATATAATCTGCAGAATTCTGGTTTCATTATCTCATTAGGCCAATCTACTTTTAACATTTGGATTTTGTGTTCGTGTTTACGAAGATTCATTGGACATAAACATCCGGATCATCTTCTGTTTCTGCGCATGCATGATAGCGCTTGATAGATTTTTTTTTCGTACGACCGCCATACCAACGCATAGAAAATCGTATGCGAAACGACAACATTTTTCACTGTTGTTCAACCGGATTTTTTCGTTCACGTTCAACGAGGGAGAGATCCCTGCAGGGATAACGAGTGTATAAGGAGAGAGGCATTGTGGAGTACATAGGAGGTATCCAACATCCATTCCATGCTGCAGCAAATTCTAGCAGATTCCATGTATGTGAACAAAGTGTATTAAGCCTATGTGTTAGGCTTGTAAGGAGGTGAGCGCACTTCTTTAATGATTTAAGGATTCACGAAAAGTCACAATTGGTGTGTTTGAATCACGTCATCACAAATCCTTTTTTTGGACTATTATTTGAGTAATGGGCCTGTTTTTTTTTATTTTAATTGATTCACATCACATTTAACTTGATATTTATTTATTTATGTATGGTACATTGTTTGTTTTTCATGGATATATAATTTGAAGTCATTAATTTATTAGTTTCTCTAAGTTTGTTAGAGATTGGGAGTGCAACATTTTTTAGTTATATGGTCCTTTTTTACACAGTTTGAGTATGTGATAAATGTTAGCGATCCAGAGGAATATTTTAGTGGCTCGCAAGTTACACACACATATGAGGAACATCTAAGAGGAGTGAGCAAGGGATCATGAGCAGCTGAAGGAGGGAGAGATCCCTGCAGGGATAACGAGTGTATAAGGAGAGAAGCATTGTGGAGTACATAGAAGGTATCCAACATCCATTCCATGCTGCAGCAAATTCTAGCAGGTTCCATGTATGTGAACAAAAAGTGTATTTTCATGGATATATAATTTGAAGTCATTAATTTATAAGTTTGTTAGAGATTGGGAGTGCAAAATTTTTTAGTTATTTGGTCTTTTTACACAATTTGAGTATGTGATAAATGTTAGCGATCCAGAGGAATATTTTAGTGGCTCGCAAGTTACACACACATAAAAATATAATATGCAGAATTCTGGTTTCATTATCTCATTAGGCCAATCTACTTTTAACATTTGGATTTTTCGTTCGTGTTTACGAAGATTCCTTGGACATAAACATCCGGGCCATCTTCTGTTTTCGCTTATGTGTGATAGCGCTTGATAGATTTTTTTCGTACGAACGCCATACCACCGCATAGAAAATCGATTGTTCGTATGCGAAACTACGACATTTTTCACTGTTGTTCAGCCGGATTTTTTCATTCACAATATAGTTATTGGTTAAAACATCCTGTTCATCAACGAAGAGAAAATCGTTCGATCAGTGGTTCCGCTAATTTTTTCATACGATTTTCTTATCGTGTGTACGGGGCATTAGGCTCAAGCTCTAATACCTGCATGATGGATGGTAAAGCAAATCTCTTTCTTTCTCTCTCTCTCTCTACACGCACGCACACACACGAAAAAAATATGGAAACACTACAGTGGGGATCGAAAGTTTGGGCACCCCAGCTAAAAATTTGTATTAATGTGCATAAAGAAGCCAAGGAAAGATGGAAAAATCTCCAAAAGGCATCAAATTACAGATTAGACATTCTTATAATATGTCAACAAAAGTTAGATTTTATTTCCATCATTTACACTTTCAAAATAACAGAAAACAAAAAAAATGGCGTCTGCAAAAGTTTGGAAACAAGTTCTGTGGACCGATGAGGTTAAAATTGAACTTTTTGGCCGGAATGAGCAAAGGTACGTTTGGAGAAGAAGGGGCACAGAATTTAATGAAAAGAACCTCTGTCCAACTGCTAAGCATGGGGTTAGATCAATCATGCTTTGGGGTTGTGTTGCAGCCAGTGGCACAGGGAACATCTCACGAGTAGAAGGAAAAATGGATTCAATAAAATTTCAGCAAATTTTGGATGGTAACTTGATGCCATCTGTGAAAAAGCTGAAGTTAAAGAGAGGATGGCTTCTACAAATGGATAATGATCCTAAACACACCTCAAAATCCACGGGGGATTACATCAAGAGGCATAAACTGAAGGTTTTGCCATGGCCTTCACAATCTCCTGACCTCAACATAATTGAAAATCTATGGATAGACCTTAAAAGAGCACTGCGTGACAGACAGCCCAGAAATCTCAAAGAACTGGAAGACTTTTGTAAGGAAGAATGGGCAAAGATACCTCAAACAAGAATTGAAAGACTCTTGGCTGGCTACAAAAAGTGTTTACAAGCTGTGATACTTGCCAAAGGGGGCAGTACAAGATATTAACTCTGCAGGGTGCCCAAACTTTTGCAGACGCCATTTTTTTGTTTTCTGTTATTTTGAAAGTGTAAATGATGGAAATAAAATCTACCTTTTGTTGACATATTATAAGAATGTCTAATCTGTAATTTGATGCCTTTTTGGAGATTTTTCCATCTTTCCTTGGCTTCTTTATGCACATTAATACAACTTTTTAGCTGGGGTGCCCAAACTTTCGATCCCCACTGTATATGATTTGCAGGTGTGAAAGTGACATGTTTCACGTTGAAAGCAGAAGTGATGTTTCTGCTGTGTGATAAGACACCTAGCTGACAGGTAGGAAGCCTCACTTTCATCATTCACTGCATGTGCTGCTAGTAATACGGAGTCATGTCACAGCTTACTGACCTTCAAAGAGGGCAAATTGTTGGTGCCCGCTTAGCTGGTGCCTCTGTGGCTGAAGATGACACTTTATTTGCAGTGTCACGAGGTACAGTATCAAAGGTTATGATGACATATACAATTTCTGGGAAAATGTCATCTGATAAGCATAACCGCGGTCAACCTGGTGAACTGACCGAAAGACACAAAAGGACATTGTGTAGGATTGTGACCCAGAGTAAGAAAACAAATGCTGCAAAAGTGACTGCAGAGTTCAATCTCAGTCCCATGAAGACTGAAATTGAACTCTGCAGTCATTTTTGCAGCATTTGTTTTCTTCTTCATGGCCTTGAAAACGCTCAGTTTTTAGGCATACAGGCTATATTTTTACTGATCTAAATGCAGCCCATTGTTTTCAATGTGCCTTTTAACACAGGCGTGTAAAAAAATACAGAAATATGAGTTGCTGGTCAGTATTGCATGTATACCCGCAAAAATGTTGCTTCCTTCATTAAAATGGCTAAAGCTAAAAGCATGTGTGTGCATATGCATGAATACACACAAGTGATATACAGCCTGTCCACTAATTTTTTATAGGTACTATATATAGGCACTACATCCCATATAACAGTATAGAGATATCAAAAAGAAAAGAGAGACTTTTAGGACTCATTCACACAAGAGCCCAGGGGGCAGTAAAACCAAGCAGTTGAGTCGAGGTTTTACCACCTGCATAAACACTGACATGCAGTTGCTCAAGGCTGTACACATGCCAAGTTGCAGCAGAAATGAGTGTGCTGCATTCAGTAGGCATTACTGCTGGCAAACATGACACATGCAAGTCACAATTGTGGCATGGTAGTGTGGTATTTACAGGGTTAAATCAGGCAGTGGCAGGGCAATATGTCTACTCATCATCTGTCAAAGGCCATCTGAAAAGCAATCCAAATGTGAAGCAGTCTTCACAGGGCACGGCATGTATGAAGCAATCCTTAAGATACCCAGAGACTACAACTTTTTCAGGCACATATCCATTTACATCTGGCTGCACATAAATCCAATATAGGTCCAGAATACTCTGTTTTTTAAATGGAGCTTAAAGTGATACTAAATGCTCATTTTTAATTTTTTATCTCAGGTCCCCCGCTGTCACTTCTGGCTCCTCCCCCCTGAGCAGTGCCCCCATAGCACTGCTGCTGGCTCCCAAACCCTGCTCTCTGCATCTATAAGACACAGCAGATGGCGGCTTAGCCCCACCCCCACTGCCTCCTCACTAGGTGTGATTGACAGCAGTGGGAGCCAATGGCTCCTGCTACTGTGTCTCAGCCAATGAGGAGAGCACATCGCTGGAATGAGAATCAGGCTCAGGTAAGTACACTGCTCAAGAAAATTAAAGGAACACTTTTTAAGCAGAGTATAGCATCAAGTTAATTAAACTCCTGGGATATTGATCTGGTCAGTTAAGTATTAGAGGGGGTTGTTAATCAGTTTCAGCTGCTTTGGTGTTAATTAAATTAACAACAGGCGCACAAGATGGGAAAAAATTTGACAATCCCCAAAACAGAAATGGCTTTACAGGTGGAGGCCACTGACATTTTTTCCCTACTCATCTTTTCTGACTGTTTTTCACTAGTTTTGCATTTGGGCAGTGGTTGGCAAGCCGCGGCTTGCGAGCCACATGCGGCTCTTTACACACTTTAATGCGGCTCTTCTGTGTGCCGGGCGCCCAGTCCCCTCCCTCCTCTTGGGCGGCCGCCCCAAAAGTCAGGACTCTGCAGCTAGCCCAGCAATGGGCAAACTACGGCCCGGCGGACCTTTTAATCCGGCCCGCGGAGCGTGATCCAAAAAAAAAACAGCCAGGGCAGCGCGCTCAAATGCAATGATTGGCCAGTCTCGCTGCCACTCACATCCTGATAGCCAGTGATTGGCTGTCAGGATGTGTGTAGGCGGGGCAGCGTGACGAACGTGAGAGGAGCTAGGCTCCTCTCACAGTCCGCCCTGAAGACCGGAACGGCGCGGGAACACGGCGAGAAGAACGCGCGGAGCAAAGGTAAGTGAATTGACACAGGGGGGACTTGGCTTACTACTTGCTACTTACTACTACTATATGAGGGATGAATTAACCACTTGCCTACCAGGCACTTATACCCCCTTATTTACCAGGCCAATTTTCAGCTTTCAGCGCTGCCGCACTTTGACAATTGCGCGGTCATGCAACATTGTACCCATATGAAATTTTGATCATTTTTTTCTCACAAATAGAGCTTTCTTTTGGTGGTATTTAATCGCCGCTGGGCACTTTACTTTTTGCGCTATAAATAAAAAAAGTGCAAAAAATGTGAAAAAAAAAAAAAAAACGTTTCTTTGTTTCTATTATAAAATTTTTCAAGCAGGTATTTTTTCTCCTTCACTGATGTACGTTGATGAGGCAGCACTGATGGGCACTGATAGGCGGCACTGATGGGCACTGATAGGCAGCACTAAAGGGCACTGATAGGCAGTACTAATGAGGTGGCACGGATAGGCGGCACTGATAGACAGCACTAATTAGGGGTCACGGATAGGCGGCACTGATAGACAGCACTAATGAGGTGTCACGATAGGCGGCACTAATATGCAGCACTGATAGGCGGCACTGATAGGTGACACTGATGATGGGTACTGATAGACGGCACTGACTGGCATCACTGCTGGGCACTGACTGGCGGCACTGACTGGCAACACCCTGGGCACTGACTGGCAGCACTGCTGGGCTGCACTGGTGGATGGCACTGGTGGGCAGCACTGGTGGGTGGGCACAGGTGGGTGGCACTGGTGGGGGCACAGGTGGGTGGCACTGCTGGGCACAGGTAGGTGGCACTTCTGGGCACAGGTGTGTGACACTGCAGAGTGGCACAGGTGGGTGCACTGCTGGGCACAGGTGGGTGATCTGCTGGGCACAGGTGGGCGGAGCTAGTGGACGCACTGCTGGGCACAGGTGGGTGATCTGCTCGGCACAGGTGGGCGGAGCTAGTGGGCGCACTGCTAGGCACAGGTGGGCGGAACTTGCGGGTGGCACTGCTGGGCACCGATCATCAGGGCACTGATCATCAGTGCCCTGATGATCGGTGCCGATCCCCGCTCTGACAACTGCCGGTTCTCGGCAGTACTTTCCTCACGATCTGACAGCGTGAGGAAAGTGCAGCCAAGAACCGGCACTTGCATTTCCCTCTGATCAGCGTGTCATTGGACACCGCTGATCACGTGGTAAAAGGCCGCTGTGATCGGCCTTTTACCACATCACGTGATCAGCTGTGTCCGTAGGACACAGCGATCACGGAGATCGCCAAGATTGGGTTTGCGCGCCCCCTGGGGCGCAGGAGAGCACGTTCTGGGAGGCCGTCATATGACGTCCACCCAGAACTGGCCGGCCGCAGTGCAGCCGTCATTCGGCTATCTGCGGTCAAGGCAACTAGTTAAGGGGGATGAATTACTATATGGGGGATGAATTACTATAAGGGGGATGAATTACTATAGGGGGGGATGAATTACTACGGGGGATGAATTACTATAGGGGGATGAATTACTATGGGGGATGAATTACTATATGGGGGATGAATTACTATGGGGGATGAATTCCTATATGGGGGATGAATTACTATGGGGGATGAATTACTATGGGGGATGAATTACTATGGGGGATGAATTACTATATGGGGGATGAATTACTATGGGGGATGAATTACTATGAAAACTTATTGAAACTAAAAACAGTGTACCATCCTATGTATTTTCAGTTTTAAAAATGTGGCTCTCAAAATAAATTTCAATCGTGGTTTTGGCGAGATTTGGCTCAGTTGAAAAAAATGGTTGCCCACCACTGGGCTAGGGTCAGTGTCACTGCTGGTAGCATAAGGCGATACCTGGTCCCTACAGAGGTTGCACAGGCAGTCCAACTCATCCAGGATGGCACATCAATACATGCCATTGCCAGATGGTTTGCTGTGTCTCCCAGCACAGTCTCAAGAGCATGGAGGAGATTCCAGGAGACAGACAGTTACTCTAGGAAAGCTGGACAGGGCCGTAGAAGGTCCTTAACCCATCAGCAGGACCGGTATCTGCTCCTTTGTGCAAGAAGGAACAGGATGAGCACTGCCAGAGCCCTAAAAAAATGACCTCCAGCAGGCCACTGGTGTGAATGTCTCTGACCAAACAATCAGAAACAGACTTCATGAGGGTGGCCTGAGGGCCTGACATCCTCTAGTGGGCCCTGTGCTCACTGCCCAGCACCATAGAGCTCTTTGGCATTTGCCATTGAACATCAGAATTGGCAGGTCCACCACTTTCCTGTGCTTTTTCACAGATGAGAGCAGGTTCACCCTGAGCACATGTGGCAGATGTTAAAGGGTCTGGAGAAGCCATGGAGAATGTTATGCTGCCTGTAACATCGTTCAGCATGACTGTTTTGGTGGTGGGTCAGTGATGGTCTGGGGATTCATATCCATGGAGGGACGCACAGACCTCTACAGGCTAGACAATGGCACCCTGACTGCCGTTAGGTATTGGGATGAAATCCTTGGACCCATTGTCAGACCCTACGCTGGTGCAGTGGGTCCTGGGTTCCTCCTGGTGCACGACAATGCCTGGCATCATGTGGCGAGAGTATGCGGGCAGTTCCTGGAGGATGAAGGAATTGATACCATCGAATGGCCCCCACACTCACCTGACCTAAATCCAATAGAACACTTCTGGGATACGGTGTTTCAGTCGTTCTGATGCCGCCAGGTTTCACCTCAGACTGTCCAGGAGCTCAATGTTGCCCTGCTCCAGACCTGGGAGGAAATACCCCAGGACACCATGGGGTTTATTTACTAAAGCTGGAGAGTCCAAAATCAGACTCCCTTCTGCATAGAAACCAATCAGCTTCTAACCTCAGCTTGTTCAATGAAGCTTTGGCAATGAAACCTGGAAACTGATTGGTTTCTATGCAGAAGTGAGTCTGATTTTGCACTCTCCAGCTTTAGTAAATAAACCCCCATCTGTCATCTCATTAGCAGCATGCCCTAATGTTGTCAGGCATGCATACAAGCACATGGGGGTCATATAAATTACTGAGTACCATTTTGAGTTGCTGCAATGAAATTTCAGCAAAATGTACTAGACTGCTGCATCATTTTTTCTCTTGGCTTTGAATTCAGTCCTCTGTAGGTTGATAATTTTAATTTCCATCAAACGATGTAGCATCCTTACGTTCCTAAAACATAACCCAGTCCATATCAGTATAGATATCCAGCATGATATATTTTTCCCCGTTGATAACTAATGTGTTTTCAAAGTGTTCCTTTAATTTTTTTGAGCTGTGTCTATTCCACATTATCACAGCTCTCTGTGTAGAAACCGTTCCGTGTTTGGAGATTAAATTTATTTTCCTCCAGACGTAAAGAGTACCCCCTTGTCCTCTGTGATGACCTCAGGGTGAATAGCTCTACACCGAGTTCACTATATGAACCAATGATGTATTTATACATGTTGATCATATCCTCCCTTAATCTCCTCTTCTCAAGAGAGAATAAATTCAGTTCCTCTAATCTTCCCTCATAGCTGAGCTCCTCCATACCTCTTATCAGTTTGGTTGCTCTTCTCTGTACTTTCTCCAGTTCCCCAATGTTCTTTTTGTGAATTGGTGCCCAAAACTGAACTGCATATTCCAGATGCAGTCTTACTAATTTGTACAGGGGTAAAATGATATCTCTTTCTGGAGTCCATACCTCTTTTAATACAAGAGATGATTTTGCTCGCTTTAGAAACTGCAGCTTGGCATTGCATGCCATTATTAAGCTTGTGATCTACCAGAACTCCCAGATCCTTCTCCACCATTGATTCCCCCAGTTGTACTCCTCCTAGTATGTATGATGCATGCATATTCTTAGATCCCAAGTGCATCACGTTACATTTATCAACATTAAACCTGATTTGCCACATAGTTGCCCAATTAAACAGTGCATTGAGATCGGCTTGTAAATTGAAGACATCCTGTAAGGACATTATTCCACTGCACAGCTTGGTGTAATCTGCAAAGACTGAAATGGTATTTTTAATCCCAGACCTTGGATTGTTTATAAGTTTTGACCTTGATCTAGTTATTTTATCTTTTTATTTTGTTTTTATATATTCTTGATACAAGCTTTTTTTTTTTTTTTAGGTCTAAGTTCTTCTCTAGTGAAGAGAAAAAGATACATATCATTTTCTCCATGCAGAGGTGAAAAAGTACAGGGGTGCATTTAACAGCTACTGATCAGTGATAGCTGGGGCAAGCCTAATAACCTAATTGCTAAGTAATGCTACAAGGACACTTTTAGTAGCTCATCCACACTATTAAAACCTCATCAGAATGATCTCTTTGTGGAGGCTTCTTTATACATACAAGGACTGCTTCGTCTCTGAAAACAGATTCATCCACAATTCACTATTCAGAGGAATTTGACAGACTTTGAGGAGGAGAAATGTCACCTTTTTTCTGCTCCTTTTTTTTTTCTATATTTTTATTGTAAATTTCCGAAAACTGAGTAGCAAAACAAAAGAATAAAATAGTATATCGAAATAAATATACAACAGAGAAGGATACATTTACAAGACACAATTCTAATTTGCTAACAATTATTCCTTTTACTGCATTGGTACTACACCATTGTACCAAATATCTTGCAGTTTTGTAATCACTATAGCATGTATGAAAATAAATAATTATTAACACATTTTAATCTATAGTGGAAGCATACGTGAGTAGTTTGTATTCAACGGATAACCTAACTAAAAGACCTCTAGTGGTATTCCACTATAAATTGTACAAAAGTAAAAATAAAATAGAGAATAAAAGAAAAAATAAAGAAGAAATATATATATATATATATATATATATATATATATATATATATATATATATATATATCAAAAAATCCTCTCTATTAATAGTAATATGAAGTATCTATTTTCTGAAATAATATAATTGTTCATAATGTTGGAGATCCTTGGAATTGTCACTGACCATTACTAGTTAGACTTGTTAACACTAAAAAGATTGTTTAGTTGAATTTTTGCTCTGCTTAAAGAGCTTTTTAGATTTGCTTTCAGATACCATTCAGTGTAAATCATTTGCGTCAGTTCTGGCGTCTGATGTCACTTTCTGAAGTAGTCATTTTGGAAGTGGTTACAGGTGTTTTTACACTGACTGTTTGTAAGTGCATAGATTTTATTAAATTTATGGTTTTATAAGGATTTACTGCACTATGGCCTCGGTATGATATCTCTTGCATGGGAACCCTGGAGAGAAGCTGGAGTTAAGGGGATTGCTGAAAGTTTAAGAGTTTTTGGTGGAAAGTGATCTGAAATGCACCAATCTGGTAAGGTGCATGGAGTGACACTATTAAACACATGCATGTGGTAGATCTGTATCATTTAAAGGGATATGCACTATTTTGGAGGTATGGAAATGTGAGTGGTTTTAGTTTTTATTTTCATATTTATAAGCAATATCACACTATATTTTTTTTTGTTTTTTTTTTTTTGGGGACCATTCCCACAAGTCACTCTAGTAAAGAGCAGGGAGAAGGTGGAATGGTTTATTAAAAGCACAGTTTATTGGACGTTTGATAAGGAGCTTTGGAGAGGTGATACACTTGGTGGATCCTTCTATAGTTATTAATAGGACTGCACAGTTGATATATTATAACGTGAGTGGCTGTCTGGAAGAGATTTTTAGAAAACTTTATTGCACTATAATGGTATTTTGGGTGAAATCATGTGGATCTTGTTGTGAGACAACCACTGACATAACAGACACAAGGAGACACAGAGCTGAAGTGAATCTGAGAATAATCGATTGGATATATACCCAGTGTATGAAGGGTAAGGGTAGAAAAAGCCGGCCTCGGCTGTCAATCACCAGGACACGGCCGGGGATTACCCACCGGCATCTGGTGATTACCGAGGATCTCCAACAGGGAGGTCTGCTTTGTTTACTAACAGTCCTCCTCCCTGTAGGCTAGGACACACTGCTCTGGATGGCTGTGCACGGCACAGCCATCCAGAGCAGTGTGATTACAGTAAAGCCCCACACACACCGCCCCCCAGTAAACCCTTTGGTCTCCCTTTATGTTAATCCCTTCCTGCCCAGTGACATTAGTACAGTGTCAGTGCTTTTTTTTTTTTTTAGCACTGATCACTGT